TTTTTTTTAAGTACCGCGTTGGCTATACGAGACGCGGTGAAATATTAAATGAGACAACATTATCGTCGTCCTCGTCGGCTTAATTCGCAATCTGAAAATGCCGAGAGGAGAGGGGAGAGGAGGAGAGGAGAGGAGAGAGGGGAAAGGTGAGAGGGAAGGAGAGGGGAGGAGAGAGGGGAAAGGTGAGAGGAGAGGAGAGGAGAGGAGTGGGAGATGTGAGGAGAGAGGAAAGGGAAAGGGTGAGTGTGGGGGAGGGGAGGAGAGAGAAGAGGAGAGGAGTGGAGAGAGAAGAGGAAAAGGAAAAGAAAAAAGGGAAAGGGTGTGTCGGGAGGAGAGGAAAGGAGAGGAGAGTGTAGAGAGAAGAGAAGAGGAGAGGGGAGGAAAACGGAAAGGAGAAATGGTTAGGAGGGAGAGAAGAGAAAAGGGAAAGGGTAAAGGGTGAAGGTAGAGAAGAGGAGAGGGGAATGTTAATTTTTTAGTTTTCAGTTTTTTTCTGGTTTGCCTGTTCTCGTGTTGCTTTGTGCCATCCTATTTCTAACTCCCGCTCTCTTTTTCCCTCTCTCTCTCTCCTCTTCCCTCTCTCTCTCTCCTCTTCCCTTCCCCTCTCTTCCTCTCTCTCTCTCCTTTTCCCTTCCCCTCTCTTCCTCCCTCTCTCTCCTCTTCCCTTCCCCTCTCTTCCTCTCTCTCTCTCCTCTTCCCTTCCCCTCTCTTCCTCTCTCTCTCTCTCCTCTTCCCTTTCCCTCTCTTCCTCTCTCTCTCCCTCTCCCTTTTTCACATTTCTTCCCTCTTCCTCTCTCTCTCTCTACTTCCCAAAATAACTCCCTCCAACCCATCTCGATTTTTTTACACGGAAAAAAGGGGAAAAAATGAAACTAAAAATAGTATCACGTGATTGTCCTTTCCCCTTTATTCTTCCTCTCTTTTATTTTCGTCTCTCTGTTCCCCTTACCAGGTACTTTCCCCCCCTACTTACCCATCCCTCCCTTCTCCCATTTTTTAGAGCGTTAACATCTTATTTTCCTCTCTTTCTCCTTACTCTTTTTCGCTCTTTCCTCTCACCCTTACCTTTTTTCCTGTTAACTCTCACACTTTCTTCCCCTTCTTTCCATTCCTCCTCTTTCTTTCACAGTGTTAACTCCCTACCCTTTTCTCCCTTCTCCTCTACTTCTCTCCCCTCTTCCACTTCTCTTTCTATACTTTTCCTCCCCTATTCTACTTCCTTACCCATCCCTCCCCTCTTTCCCCTTTTCACACCTTCCAATTTTCTTCCCTCTTCTCTACTTCTCTCCCCTCTCCTAGTTATCTTTCTCCCCTATGTTTTACTCCCCATTTTCCCTTCCAAATCACCTCATCGTCCAATTCCTTCTCCTTCCCTCCCCTCATTCCCCTTCTCACACTTCGCCTTCCCTTCGCATTTCTCTTCTTCTCTATTTCTCTCCCCTCTTCTAGTTATCTTCATCCCCTATGTTTTACTCCTCCTTTTCCCTTCCAAATCACCTCATCGTCCAATTCCTTACCCTTCCCTCCCCTCTCTTCCCCTTTTCACACCTCACCTTCCCTTCCCATTTCTCCCCTCTTCTCTACTTCTCTCCCCTCTTCTTCTTATCATTCTCCCCTATATCTTACTCCCCATTTTCCCTTCTAAATCACCTCCTCGTCCAATTCCTAACCTTTCCCTCCCCTCTTTTCCCCTTTTCACACCTCCCCTTCCCTCCCCTCTTCCACGGATCCCTCTCTATATTTCCCTCCCTATCCCCATTCGTTACCTTTCCCTCCC